AACAGCCTCACATTCTGCAAACGTCTCAGGAAGTTCTTTGCCTGTGGCAACCACAATGGCAAAGACATGAGGAATAGGTGTCGCCTTCAGTGTGGCTGTCTGAGGTGAGACATTTTCAATGAAAGTCAAACTTTAGCTCTCCTCTAGTGTCTATAAACTCTGACCCTCAACAAAGTTTGTTCAAAGGATGGTAATGGCAGTTCCAGTGATAAAAATGGCATCGTCAAGAAAGAATAAAGAAAATAAATAAAGAAAACTTCAAAGAACACAAAGCTATTTAGAAACCTTAAAAGTATACAGCATTAATGTAATCATTATAGATTACCATGAAAGCAATTCCGTTGTTTACACACTGCGCCAAAGCGAACTAATAGCGTTAAGTATTCTATCCCCGTCTAATATCAAATAGGCGATCATAACACCGTAGAACCCTAGAGTATTCAAGGCTCACGCCATCTATGAAGTAACCTGGAGTATTTAAGGGCATTCAACTTGATTGTGGACTCTAGAATCCTAGAGCATTCTGTCAAGGGGAACCCAAAACGTGAAAAACACCTGTAGACTGTCCTTGAATACTTTGGAATATTTCGAAATATTTCGGCAAATATTTTTCTAGGAGAACACGGTAATAAATCCTGCAATCTGATTGGTTCTTATATAGTGCGGTCCGGATTTTCCTATCTCTGACCACGGTCACGGTAACGCTCGTGCGATGTGTGGGTGGGAAAGCTCAATAATTATAAATGTAATTTAAGAGAGAGGAAAAAAATAAATAAGTTATTTACTTGCTTAGATTTTCACTATACGGACCTCCCAGCCGGTAAATAACACATATATATGTGCTGTTCGCCGATCCAAATTGTCGCCCCAATTTCTGACAGATATGTTTCCTGGAAAAAAAATTAAGAGGAAGATATGGACGCTAAGTAACTGCTTCTCCAGAAATCGTTTAAAAAACTTTTTAAAATATACTAAAAGTATTGCGTATCAGAGACGCAAACGGGTAGCTTGCGTACAATGCAATCCCGACTTTACGCGCTCGGCACTATCTATATAACTTTCAGTTCTGATTGGTTCATTTATAATTAACCGCATTTGTTGCGGTAGATCAACAGTCGTTACTTTGGGTTTAGTTTTAAAATGCCACTGAAACAAAATTTCCGCATCTGAGATTTTTGCGTAACAATAAAGTTTGAACATTACTTGAAAACAATGTCAACTTTTATTTCGCGAACGGTAAGCGAAGACTGCTTTTTCGGGCGTTATCAAGAGGAGCAGTTCCTAGCCTTTTCTTTCCACTTGCATTGCTGCTGGAGAAATAGTGAATATATACTAACGTTGATCTTTCTTACTTCCTTTATTTCCAAGGTGAAATATGACTCTATCAAAAGAGGAGACGGCAAGAAAAAGACTCACAAACAGAATTTAATCAAATACGAACTTAAAATACTTGACGCAAATTTGTTTGTTATTTCTGACGGTCTTCTGTAAACGTTGAATTTGTCATTACATGTACTTGCTTATCTTAAAATAAAAGTGAAAACAAACTGATGACAGTATGTTTCATCATGCAGGACACAGACTTCGTTTTATCAGCGCCGGCCACGTGATTGGATAGTCGGGTTTGCCCGTTACTTGTTGTCATCGGGGTTAGGTAAAGGAGCATAAATAACTAAGAGGCTGGCCAAGATGGTGCTGAGCCAATTACATGTAGCTATATACATGGTGTGGCTGAGGAGCTGAACTCAGTCATAGCTGAGTGGCATCAGCAACGGGAGCTTAAACTCCGGGATCTCAAGCAGATTACAAGAACAGCATGCAAACAGTCACCACTCGGCCACGCTTCCTCGTGTACAGAGGAAAGTGAGAAATCAATTCAGAGCGATGTGTTTCCTCAATTTCTCCGAGTACAGACAAACCTCTAAGCTTTGGCGTTTAATTTTACTGTATCGCTTTTTAATGGGATCGAAATTCCTATTCATCAGTCAGTTTGAGGTCAAAAGTTGCTCAGATACTAAGCATCCGCTGAACATATAAAAAGTGACATCGCCTTGCTGAGAGCAAGCACTACCCTTGCAGAGAAACGTGTGCCTGGAATTCGCTGCTCCCGTGTTGTAGAGTAGTAACAGTCAATGAGAACAACAGAAAACAAAATAGAACGGGTGATGTTGTGGATGGATCCAGAGGTCTGGACTCGAGTCAAACCTTTGCCTTCGTATTGTTTCCTTGGGCGACAAAATTTATCTTTCTATTTTATCTCTGAATTAATTTACTTTAATTTCTTTTTTAACTTTTTCCACTTGGCGGCATGAATACAATATTGTTAACAAAACAAGTGCAGTGAAAAAGAAGTTGAAAGGGCAAAATAGAGTAAACTAATTATATGCCCTTTAATTAAATACATTTATTTTAGGATAAAAGAAAACTAGTATAAGAGAGGAAAGAGCAAACACATAGTAAATACATAATTTATGTTAAAATTGCTAATACTGAGCAAAGTAAAACCGGAAAAGTGATTTTTAAATGGTGTTCTTGTTGGCTTAATACGTGTAGGTAAAAGAATGTCATTCCAATAACAGCATCTAACAATAGTTGGGCAAATTTTCCATATATTTATTCTAAAGGATTTTGGATTCAGGTGTTGTAAGCAACATATCTAAAGGACGCACTTCGAGTAGCATAATTATTTTGCTCAGATACTAGAGACAGGATGAGATCCGAAGACTTTGTATCAATAAATCAGGTGATCATAAAATAGTTTGCAGGTATATAATTTAACGATGTCATGAAGCTTAATGATTGCAAGGTTTTACACTATCGGGAGTAATGTGATCACGAAGTAGCACAGTGTTGATAATTCTAACAACTTTGTTTTGTAGTGAACAAATGATTGATCATCGCAGTTATACACACAACTTAAGCAGTAGTAAAATTAAAGCCTGAAAAAAAATTCAGGCCTGAACGGGATTCGAACCCATGAC